TGATGATTCCGCGCGAAAATGGCAAGCAACAACTTAACATTAACAACGACTATCTGGCCTCACCTCGAATTCAATCAGTAAGGAGACGGAACAATCGCACAAAAAAAAACCATACATACGGTATTCCGCGGTGATAGTGCACGTCCACATGTTGAGCTTCGTGTCCTCGGATCCCTCTGAAATAGTGAAAGTTACTCCCATACCGCCCTACCACCAACTGAAGCACCTACATACTATCACGTTAGTCGCTTGCCGAAAAACAGGCAGACGAACAAAATTTACGACGATTTGGATAACCTGTAACTTTTTTGCCCGTAGAATTGTCCTTTATTAAGCATATGAGAGGCATTGGTTGAAAGTGATGGAATCACGCTTCAGAATGACTTAAACATATTTTTGTTTGTTATTGTTCCTACTGAATAAGTTTGCAAAAAAACTGCAGTAATTGAACATTAATCCAATGTTAAGCAGCTGAGAAGTATAAGGTATCCGCCCTGTGTTTTACATGAGCTCTAAAAATTTTCAGAGACTCCATAGCAGATGTAGTCAGTTTAGTGGATCGCCATAAGCATTTGATATCTTTCAGAACACCTTAGCGAATATTGTGGCGATTTTAATAACTAATATTCGATATAGTAAGATATGCACCTTTCCTGCCTTACCACTCAACTTTGAAACCTTGTTCAATGATAAGGTAAAGGTAAACCTATTATATAGTTTTCGTCACACCCTGCAACAGAATTTTTCACCTCTGATTGATTAGTATTGATTATTGTTTAACAGCCAACAAAAGATTTATCGTAGCAAAGCCATCCCTTTAGTAAACGTATATACGTAACAAGACAGAATTAGTCGTAGTCCCATAGTTCCGGGCAACCTCTGAAAACGAAATTTAGAAAGCGTGAAAACTTAATTTGTGAACAGGTTGTCACAGTCTGTCACACTCAAATTGAAGAGTGGAATGCTACAAAACCTTTGCTCTTAGCATTCAAGAGTAGACAAGCCTTCTCTAGTTTACGCTAAGTCACTAATGATGAAAAAGCTGAAGCTAACTGCACAAAACCACTTCGCATTAGCTGCATACGGGTTCATTGCTGTTTTTGTTCAAAGTGCAATCGACGGTAACCTTATATATATAGCAGGAAGGCTGTTAACTCACCATCAACAATGTCTTTCGGCTACATTTCCTGTATTCTTCTATTTTCCCTACAAAGGTATACGTAATCATAGCTAACACCTAAAATGCCTATAAAAATTCAGATTTCACTTCTAATTGTGTAAAATTTCTCTAATTTCCCCATATGTAATGTATGGAGTTTAGGTCGTACTGCAGTGGGCCAGAAGTTGTAGAAGAGCCTTACCACACTCATGTCGTTCCTGCTGTGCCAGTAGAGCCTGCACCAGCACCTTATGTAGAGCCAGCACCTGTGCCAGTAATACCCACAAAAGTTGTGGAGCCAGTACCAGTACCAGTAGTGCCAGCAA